GTGAGCTTTTGTATGTATTTCCCCAGTTTTCAACACCATACTCTAAGTATGGTAAAAATCAATGAAGAATACAAAATGCGTAGTGCTTTCCCGTCCAAAATATATCTAACCCTTGCCAATATCAATATATTTTTTGCTATTTTGTGCTGAACATATCTGATATGAGATTTCCAGGAGAATTTGTCATCAACTATGACACCTAGAAATTTAATTTCATATACCCGTTCTATATTAGCTCCCCCAATTTTCAATCGAAGTTAGTTATCTAATCTACGATTCCCAAATACCATAAATTTAGTTTTATCCAAATTCAGAGATAGTATATTACTATCACACTATTTCTTTATCTTCTCAAGTTCCTGTGAAACCCGTCCAGAGAGTTGCTGTAGGTTTTCACCCAGTGAAGAACAACTTAAGTTTGGTTACCTGTGTGGAAGAATGATTTCAGAATTCATAACATCTGGCTTCCATGTGACTCGGTGCAAGGACTGAGAGCAGACAGACATTTACACACACATCTCAAACCGCCAGCACTGCCAGACATGTTAGGACAGAGTCAGCAGTCGCTCCCTTCTCTACCCGCCCAGCATTCAGGCTTGGACTGTGCATGAGTAACCCCGCAAAACTGGCAATCGCGGTGTAACCCACCGTGGAGATGTGAACCTGACCATTACGTATGCCTAAAATAGAGCACGCAGCCTTAGAAGAGAGGATTTTAAAAAATTAGCTGCAATTATAACAAACCAAAGTATTCTGACAGAATGAAAAGGACTGTTGAAGGTGATCTAATCTGTTTCATATGTGCAGCTTTTGTAACAGGATTGTCTACTCTATTGTTTACACTGTCGCACCTGAGAAGAGTCACGAGACCTTAATCTGGTATGTTTCAATTCTCAGGGACACTGTGCAGGAAGTTCTCTGCCAATTTTATAACATCTAAAAACATTCTTGTAACCATGTGAAACTTAGCAGCATGTGTGACAACATACAGCTGCATGAATTCACTTCTCCCAGTCACTTGGTAATGTGCCAACATTTCCTTTAGCTATGAAGCCTGGAAATTACCTCAGTGGAAAGACAGTGGAAAGAGTAAATATATTGTAAATCCATAATTTGTCCTGATTGTTCACCCTACACCAAAACCCACAAGAGACTTACAAGTGGAATTACAACTGTAATATTTGGTTATAAATATCCTGCTAAGAGCTATTCCTGAACTCTGGTGTCTTCTACCATTGACCCATTGAACCTGGGTCTAGTAACACATCTACCTGCTACCAATTCTAACAACAAAACATCTGAAACACTGATAGCAGTGGGAGTAGCGCTGTAGTAAGGCAGGTTAAATCTCTCTGGTTCACTTCCTTGAAAGGACTCAAGCTTCCCTAACACTCGAATGCAGGAGAAACTAACCCACTTTTTGGCGCACTTGAGACATGGGTACGAGGAGTCATGTAACAATACTTTAGCTGATGGTTTTCATGATTACATTTAAAACCAGGGTTTGTGCTGTCTTCTGTAAAGCATTTTCAGGGCCACAAATCCAGTCAAAAACAAGGTTAATTCTAAAAATATATAAAGAGAGAGACATTATAGTCATCCAAAAACAACAAACTGATACCGACTGAGAGCTGCAGGGCGCCTGTGTAACTTACACTAACAAGGATATCTAACTACATATATATTTACATACTGCAGACACAGTGAAGGTAACATGCAGCGGTATTGTAAGAGATAGAGTTTCTCCTTCATAGCAATAACAGTAATCTCATCCTTTCTCATGGGCCTGTGCAGCCCTCATTCCTCAGTTACATTGTCTTAAGATATGGTTCCACTTACAACTTATCTTCTAGCAACAAGGCCAGAAGCAGATTGGGTGATAAAGTCAGGTGAGAGCATTTTATAAACATGTTTCTGAAACGGACTGAAAATCCCCTACTATCAGGCTTCCCTGGAAGAATACGCATTGTGATGACTCTGTACAATGGGTATTAAAAGGTTATCTCCAGTTGCCTATGCGGAGCACCAGAGACACTTTCAGCTACTGAGTCTAACATTTTTTGTAGCCATGGCAGAGTTTTAGCATCACAGGAAGCCAGCCTCGAGGCTAAGGATTCAGTTGAGCTTCTAATGCTGAGTATATGCTGGAGAAATCACTGACAAATTCAGGAAAACAACAGATCCAGCATTCACAGAAGTCTGTATTTGTATATCAAGTGTGATGTGTGGTTTATAACGAAGGCAAAAAGCTACAGGACGAGTTAGCAAAATATATGTTACTCATAGAAAGTGATGTGTGAAGTTAGAAGGGACAGTCTGGGCCATCCTGTAACACATTCCTCCACAGATTCATCTGTCACACACACACCAAACACCTTTGTTCACACATTTCCTTGTTGTTTCCTATCAAGCAGTGCTCTTCCTCTGCAAACACCTGCACCATCTCTTGCTCCCAATCACTTTCCTATATTGTATGACCATGTCGCAACCATAAAGATGTGCTATTTTTCCACCCATATTCTCTCACAGCTGAAAGAGAGACCCGTTAGACAAATCAAACACCATGTGCTAAGGAACAGGCCACACAAAGCAGCTGATTAGCTTGCCATGTGTCCTGGATAAGTTTCACGTGTTACCAGTCCCTACAGAGGATTCCCTGATAGCCTGTGCGGATGTCCCCGGCCCAAGTCAGCAGTTTTAATGTAATATTTGAGAAATATCATGGTGCAGTGTCCCTGCATTGTGCAACAATGTTTATTACATTACATTAATGGCTTCATTATGACCTGGCAAAGTACATATGAGTGACAGATTTGTTAAAACAATCAGCCACAGGACACAAGTTCAGTGGACAAAGCATCATCTCAGCTGAAGCACCCTTGAGCAAAAGATCAAGTCAATACAGGAGTGTTCACCTTCCGACTCTGACCCTTGACATCTGTGGAAATGGGCAGGGGTATATAGGCTAATTTGACTCCAGATTAAAAATGTTCATAAACTACACAGAAAAACTGGTGGACCCACTGTTTACAGCCTAAACCACAGTACAGCTCCGCATTAAAACATGAGGATCTCCATTCTCTGTTTGTTCCTGATTGCAATCTCATCTGTTGTTAAACGCAGGGGAAATTATTGGCATTCCCGGGAGCTCAGAAAATAACTTTACGGTTTGTTCAAAAGAGGATGCAAGAGGCATCTGCAGCTCTAAACAGGACTGCTTAGCTTTGCGAATAATTTTGTGCCATTCAAGCACCTGACCTCCACCTCAATGTTGACGTGGGGGATTTACTGGAATTTTAATTACATAACAATAACAAGGGATGAATTTTGGCCACGTTTGTCTAATAATTCTGAAATCTACTGTTACACTACAATGTATAAATACACCAACTTTACCAACATCCTCGCTTTTCAACGGGGGTTACTGGATGGGTGACGTTAGTACGAAAAGGATACACTATAAGTTGGTACACGGTTTTAAAAGTTTTTTGTTTTTTTAAGTGAGCATTTATTTAAAGTAATAACTTATAATGAATCAATAATTCTACTTAACAAAAAAACCCCAACATATCCTAACCAACCAACCTGGATACTCATGCTTGCCTGTAAAATGTCCTGGCAGCATCACGGTGGTGAAGGAAGAACCAGCACAACTTAGCTGTCCAGACTTTTTGGGTAACGACTCTTAACTGCTCAGAATTACTAGTGTTAATGGTGAAATGTGTCAAATGAACAGAAACTAACGTTATGCCTAAAAAACTAAATCTATTTAAACAATTCGATTTACTTAAATGACGTCACGAGAACTGTAACCGTTAAAATTACGGATAATGACAGTCAAACCATCTAGAATAGCAAAACCTACCTTTCAATAAGCAAAACGTTATTCCTTACAAGAGAGGTAATCCAACCGGGTTTGTCTACGTTCTTTCAAAAACAGAAGGAAAGAAATCCGATTGGGAAGGACTTGGATAAGTTTCGGAGAAGAGTCTTCAATCCTCCTCCTTCACCGACAACCACACTGTTCGCGCTGGACCTGAAACAAACAGATAGGAAAACATGTGCGGTGGGTGGAAGCGTAAACCCACGGACCCGGGATGGCGAACAGGATTTTATACTTGTCTAAATCAACAATATATAGTCGAGTAGTCATAGACAGTACCTAATATTTATTCAGCAAAGTAGCTCATAATATACATGATCGTATTAGTGTCGGTTTATTCCCGTTAATGTCGAGAATTGTTACGGTGCTCGCTTCGTACACCCCCAGCCAAACTCAAATTTGGTATCGCCCACGGCTGCCTCTCATTCCATTCCACCCAACTGTGCTGGCACCAGCTCTGTCGCATTCATTTTGGAAGTCGCAGCGGGGAGAAATAGTAACGCTCGTATGCAATAAAAGCGTGCTCAGAAAAAGTTTTGCGATGTAGATGTTTATTTTTATGACCGGATCGCCAACACTTTGCAGTTGGTTTTGTTCTATATTTCTTTGACCTGGGCCATTATGAAAGATGCATTGTCACCCTATAATTAACCTTTTCATCATCAGCCGACTCTGGGCTTGATGTGTTTCTGCCTTCAGAGGTTAAAGCACCACAAACCTTAGAGATAGGGCCTTGTGTAGACACCAGCTGTGCATTGTGCATGAAAATTGTGCCTATAAGAAATTACTTCATTTCCTTACACTTCTAAAAACCCATCCTCCCCTTTCATAAAGTCAGCCACTGACTTAAAAGTGGGGGTCGGCCCACTTAGTTGACATGGTGACCCCTAATTAGTGCTCAGGGGCCCAGACTCTGCTCCATATGCTTGTTGGAGAGAGAAATGGAGTACCAAACATGAAAAGGGGTCCGGAAGTGTGCCTGGTCAAGCCAGGTTAACCCCCCGGCCCACATTACAAGCAACTTTGAAGTGACATCAGTAAAGGAGTTCTGAACAACAAAGCTAGCCAGAGATTATTCTCTTCAACCACAGACCACAAGTTCCCAATCTCTGGAGTAGTCACCAAATGATCAGGTTCACACTGTAAAACTTTCAAAATGGAACTCATCATTTGGTGGATGACCGGGGGTGGAACATCATTACGCCCTAATAAAAATACTCCTTAATGATAACATGACCCTTTAAATGAGTCATGCAACATGTTCAGAACTCTTTCATCCATATTTGGTTTTCTAAACTGTTTTCAAAACTATTATAACAAATACCACTCCAAATATGACACACCTGACCTCACATTCCATGCTTATACCTCCCCTCCCTTAAACTGCAGAGCGCTTGCAGCCTTTGTCTGCTTCCCTGTCTTGATTTGATTAGTTTTCTCTGGCTGAGCTGGAGATGCAGTGGGGAGCAGGTTGGGCTCTTTGTTGCTGCATTATCTGACTAATTGAAATAACTCCCTCTGCGTTTCTGTCTCCTCTGGAAAAGATGAGTAGCCGCCCACCAGGCCCCGGTCATCGTGGCGAGTCCTTGCCATCAGCCCCTCCCCTGACTTAATGTAACACATGCAGCTACCTCAACACACCCAAGCATGGTAAAAACAACATTTTCACACAAACCATTATCTGTTTTGCTGCACCATGACACTGAATAATAAAGCACAGTCAAAATTATATAGACATTTATTGTAAACACAGTTTCTCTCAGCCCCAAAAATCCAAAACAGCAAGAATTGTGTGACCACATTTTACATCTCATTCAAAATAATTTGCAGATAAGCAAGCAGAGCAGAGATACGTAAGTGTATGGTCAAGCTGACTAACAAAAAAGTATGTAGGCACCCAAACATGACACTCATATTTAATTGTTAGGCACCTGATTTCAAAACTATAGGCAATATTCTGCCACTGTAACAGCTCTCTGTGAAAACCAAAAGCACATAAAAGTAAGTAAATGTTGTGTGCTCAACTTTATTGAAAGATGTGGTGTTATTAGAAGTAACGCATCCCCCCAGGTTATTTTTAGTCTTTGCCTTTGAACAAATTCCTGTACATTGCTGTTGTTTAAATGGAAGAGCATGTATTTTTCAAACTCCCTGGAACATGTTTTGGGTGCCAGATCAAACAGTACTGCCTGTGTGATTATGACTGTTATTTTATATACTTTTTGGAATGAGTTTGAATGTAGATCTGCTCTGAGGCAGATGACTGGTCAGTTACGTGAGATCCTTGATTTAATATTCTCATCCCTAAGGGAAATAGCAGGAAAATTGCGAGGGGTATCTGCTTGGAAGATAAATTAGCAAAATGCTACAATGAAAAGAAGGCTACAAGGTGCACTCCAGAGTATGGTCATTTTAATAAATGCAATATTGAAACACAGCACCTGTAAGTTTAAAGAATGAATTTCCTCATCTTGCAGTATTGGAAGGAAAGCGCAGCTGTAATTTGGAAACTCTGGTGCACTATAAAGTTTGTTGAAGAAAAGCACTGCAGAAATGTGCTGCGATCCCAACAGGCAGGCGGACAGACGAGGGCACTGATCTAAGTTATTTTGCCAAAGCCCTCATGCTGTCTGACAAACCATTAATTTCTCCGTGGCACCAGTAATGGCACTGGAAGCAGAAATATTGGAACAGTGATTAAACATCTTGTTGTATTGTCTTATTATTATACACAAAAAACTGTTCTGTTGCAGCTGTGATAGCAAATGCCAATAATTCTCTATGAAATATTCTCATTTCCTACTAGAGTTTAACATTGTTTGTTCTCATTCTAATAAAATGCAATTCCCTAGCAGCACTAGTTTTTTTTTTTTTTCATTTTTAGCTGAGACAATTGCTGCTGTATTGCTGACACAAAAGGGCCAAGCATCTGCCACTGAAACAGTCAAGTCATACTAACATCTGCACAGTCACTCGCTGGAGGCCGGACAATGCAGCACAACAACGGGAGAAACAGTGAGAGAGGAAGATACAAGCGAGGAAAGAAAGTGAGAGAGAGTAATGGAGGAGGGGGTGGAGGAGTGTGAGTCACCAGATGGTACAGTGAAAAGAATACACAATGGTAACACTACACTAGCTTCATTCAGTCTGCTTATGTAAGCCTATACCGCAACACTATCCAGAGCTCAGATGCAGAATGTAACGTTATGTTGGTATCACTGGCTCGAGACATAATCTGAGAAAGCATCCCTTTGATACTCTCCAAGAAGTTGTAGTATTTTATGGATAGGTGTACTAATACAATATACTGACACCCAGTATTGGAGTATAAAGGGTTTAAGGAATAATTTTTATTATTACAATAATTTTACTGCTGGTATTTGCATCATCCAGATGTTACAACTTGCTATCAATCAACCAATAAATACTTTATTCATATAGTACCTTTCATACAGCTTCATGCTGTTCAGGATGCTTTACAGAAAAATGATAGAAGACAACAAATGTGACAATAAAAACAAAGCTAAAAGACCAAAGAAAACAACAAGATATACAGTGAAATAGCGATGATACAGAATACAGTTTCTTTTACAGAGGGACGTTGATTTGTTTTGATATGGTGTCCACGTGGCTAATGTAGCAACATGTGGTCACGCTAGTTGCCAGATCTTAGTACCAGCTGTCATACCTGGCCTTGTCCCCATGCTTATACTGCCACCTGGCACCTTGTCAGCTCTTCTGTGTTCTCGGCACACACACCACATTCCTTGTTCAGTTGGGTTCATTTAGGGCATGATCAGCACTGGTGCATGCTCCTAAATTAGGGAAAACAACCAATTCTGGTGATATTTGTTGGTAAAAACTGTTGTGTGGTTTGTGTAAAATCCCCCTTTGTTCAGCCATTGCTGCTTCTTGTATTTGTTCCAAACAAGCAGCTACAACTTGCAAAAGTAAAATCTGTCACTTCCTGTGTGTCAGGTAAACCCGTGGCTGTAATTATAAGTAAAGGTATAAGTGAAACGAAATATACATTATATGTTTACTGTGTGTTAATCTTTCATAGATTATTAATCCAGAATAATTTTTAAAAGTATTATTTAATGACCTTTTGTACCATTTGCCTTTATTTTGTACCAGATTTAACTTTGTCAGTGTAGGTGTCACTTTGGAACAATCAAACATTTATTGGAAAAGCCCTTAGCCCTGAGTATTGTTGTCATAAAGATCACTGATGGGTATACAGTGCATGCTAAATTATTCATTTCAGGTACTGAATGCAATTCTAAGTATTGCATGATGCAAAATTTATATGTGCTTTCCCCATGTGTGGCCTCTGACCACTAAAAGATCAGGACACGAGAGTATTGACCAGACTATTTAGATATGTGGCTAATGGACCTTCTTATAAGAATGGTAAACAATTATTGATTCTTCCTCTGTCAGTGCTGGTCCCACTTCATTGTGAAAAGCCAGGGACAGAGAATGAGGACTCGGTGTTACCAGATGTTAGTCAATCAAAGCTGGTCTTTGTGCCTTTCAGCAAGGTTAGTGTAAAGGGCTGTATAGACAGGTCCTTGGATCAAAATCAAGCTGAGTTCAACATAGGCTTTGTCCTTAACTGTCACAACCAGATTTGTTTTTGCATCACTGTTATTTAGAACACATTTATAATAAGATAATGTGCATCTTTGCAGTATGTAAGCATTGTAAATATGCATTGAACAGTGGAATAAAAATAGCACACACCACCTAGGAATGGTGTATATGTGGTGCTATTAATAACAAGGTTAAAGTGTGTCAGTGAAAAGCTCCTGAGCAAGCAGTCGCATTGTAAATGATGCTGTATGCACAAACACCTTTAAAACCTTCCACCAGCTACAGGTCCCCAAGTTATGGGCAATTAGTTTCACTGTGAAAGAGTCGGTCTGAGTTTATTGTTTCTTCCTAAGCCAAAAAGCACATCCGAAGTCCATTACCATGAGTTAAGATGTTTACCTATTGATGAAATTGCAAAAGCAGCTCTCAGTCAGCGGGTTATTGTTTGTCCCAGCACAGGTCACTGGCTGTTCCTGAATCACCTGGGCTGGCCTTGTCCAACATCTTGCATCAGGTTTACGGTGGATTGTCGTTGCAGAGATTAGAATATCTGCTGTTAGG